GCGCGTGGGCGTGGGCGCTCCGAGGCGCGATTGCCAGCAATGATACTTTCAAGGCGCTTGCGGCGCGGGCTTCGCGCTGAGGTGTGTGGGCGGCGCAGTAGCGCGGTCACACCCACGTTCAAGTGGGTGCGAGGAGCAGAACTCAGCGCCGCCCGCTTGCATCTGTGGGAGTAAAACTACGTGTGCTTCGAGCTGTTAGGAGGACTGGATTTAGCGGATTTGCCCTGGTGTGGGGCAATTTTCAACGTTTCTGTAAATCCCCTTTTATCATCACGTAATAATGCAATACTACAATGTCAGTGAAGCTATTTAATAGATTTACAGGTAAAATGAGACTTACTTTTGAGTTTAAGATTGTTAAGATAAGTTATGCAAATGTATAGGTATTGAGATCATTGTTGCAAGCAAAGGAGTTCGGGGGAGATAGGCCAACTATTTTAAGGGACGAAATTGAATGACGATTTTCAAATTGTTTTTTTTTTTAGTTCCGTAGCTACATAGCTCACACATGAAATTATATGGATCATTCTTTGCTGCGCTGTTCAGAAGGTAAGTGCTGTCAAAATATATAGAATTCTCTTTCTCGTGCAGATAAAACACACTTTTAGCCGCCTGGACTCTTGAACAAGCAGTAAACGCCCTTTGGGTCCATATGCGAGCGTTGGGCGTATTGAGTGTGTGCTGACCCCAGTCGCCGGCCGTTGCGAGTCGCGTGCGTGAGTGCCTGCCATGGGCCACCACTTCGCGGGGTAGGCGCCCGCCCTCCACGTGCGGCGGCATCCCGCGTACTGCCCGCCAATGGCCCGCGTCGTCGTTGCGCGCTTCCGCTGGCGCGCCATTGCCAGCCGCTCGCGCCCCGCCCGCGCCCCCGCGCCCTCCGTGTCACCCGGCACCTGTCGCCCTGCCTCGCATTTTCTTTCATCCCTCCTCTGCGTGCTCCGAGCGGCCCGCGCGCGGTATCACGCCGACCACCTGCCGCTTCGAAGCTGGTGCTTCACCCCTCCCGCCTCACACGCCTCAGCCACTCTCGCACTCACTGGTGTGGTCGTCCTCACCTCTCTGGTCATCCATATCGTTTCCGGCGTCTCTGTTCTCTTGCCGTATTGGCCTCTTGGAGCTCATTTGCGACGTCGACTCTCTTCGTAAAACCGCACCTCGCCATCGCCACCGCTCTCCAACTTCCCATCACCGCTCTCGTCCTCACCGTCTTGCCATCCCACCTGCCCTGTAGTCTCACCCGCCGCGCCGTCCTCACCACCTCGCCGTCCTCACCACTCGCCGTTCTCACCACCTTCGCCGTCCTCACGCGCCGTCGTCGTCTTCACACCCTCGCCGTCCTCAACACTACGCCATCTCACCACGCCTCGCGTCTCACGCCATCGCAGTCCTCACCGCCATCCGCCTCCTCACGGCCCTCGCCGTCCTCACCGCCATGGCCGCTCACGCCATGGCCGTCTCACCGCCATGGCCGTCTCACGCCATGGCCGTCCTCCACGGTCATGGCCGTCTCACCGCCATGGCCGTCCTCACCGCATGGCGTCCCACCGTATCGCCGTCTCTCACCGCCACGCCGTCTCATCGCTCTTATCCGTCTTATCGCTCTTCTCGTCTCATCGCTCTTTCAGTCCCTCATCGCTCTTTCGTCCTCCCGCTTCTCGCAGTCATTTTTGATTTGGAGCCCTGTCGTTCTTGTCCTTCCTTGGTAGCTTCATGAGTTTAGATACTTTCACAGTCCTCTGTTCCTTGCCTCTCTTGTCGAACATGAAATCAGCCACGTTATTATGCTTTCACAACATCCGTAGATATATTAGACGCTTACACTAGCTGCCTTGCGACACGTATTCTCCTGCAACCGACGTCTTCGTGACGTGCTTTTCCTCTGCGGTCTCTCGTCCTTGGTTCATACACCTCAGACACTCCCCGACACGGGCTCCCTTCCCCTTTCCTTCCGCTCCTCTCTCGCCGCACGCCATCGCCCATTGAGCATGCAGCTGCCTGTCGACCAGACGCGGCGGGTGACCAATTAAGGAAATAAGCGTCGCGCGTTTAGCTTGTTGCGGGCGGCCGCCCCCCGCCGGCCCAACGAAATTATTAGTTTACGGGCATTTTAACTGGGCTGTGCCGCACTGGCGGCCCCGCGGTGGAGGGGCGAGCGCGGAGGCGAAGGAGGAGGGAGAGGGGACGTATGGGACAAGACTTTGTTGCACTTGCGGGAGTCCTTTGGTTGCTGCGTGGACCGGGCTTGAGCGTGCAATGGGAGACGCGCTTTCCATGCCGCTGGCCGCAGGGGTGGGCGGCGGGGGTGGGTGGCGTTTGCGCGGCGCGTGGCCGACGGAGCGACCTCACAGGCCGCGTCCTGCGTGCGCACCCTTCGAACGGGCGCTATCTCCGCCGATCCCTTTCACTCTGTCAGGAGGTTTATTATCAGTCTGACTGGCTGACCGAGCACGGGCGACTCCGCGGGATGCCGATCGCTTGCGAGCTACGAGTGAAAGGAGGACTGTAATTACATAGATCTTTGGTTAGCCTGGGTGCAACTAAAGTTGGACGTCTTGGTCGCAGTAATGTCGATCGTGTTTAGTTCTAGGGGTAGCGTTCCCTTCCCCGCTGGTAACATTCTTATCCGGCGCCGACCTACCATGCCGACTTGAGAGACCCAAGATTCTCCCAGAGATGCGCCGCGACACTCATCAATTAGATAGTATGTGTTGTAGATGTAGAGTTGGTGTTGTGTGTGTGTGTGTGATAGGATGAGGATGAGTAGGACAAACTGATTTACCAATCTCGCGCCAGTGCCGTTTCAACTTCACACTAACTGCTACTTGATCGTTTCACACTGCCAATCGTTGTACGCAGGATAAATCAGTATCATTAGACAATCACATATATACAGGAAATTTGAAATAACATATGTAACTCCATTAACCCACTTTACCACATTTGATTGAACACATCTCGTCAGCGCATGTTTTCGCATCCATGTCCCAACATGTTTCCATTCATCTGTCCCACTTGCTCCGTACCGCCCTCAATTACGACATTTTTGATTATCTAAAACACATTACAACTACCGACCCATGTTTCGTTTACGCAATTCCTGTTCTTTCTTCGTGCCAGTGAAGAGAGTTTAGCTATGCAATACGTGTAACTTTTCCCTAGTTACACGCATCTTACTTGATCTCACATCTCTCTTACCATCGACCTCCCTTTTTCTTTGATCTTCTCGTTACGTGGTTTAATGAATTCAATAATCGATGCCTATAAAAGTCTAACCCGCGGATGAATCCGCTTGTCACGTCCCTGTCCGGTTCCGTTCACTCTTTATTAAATTATCGCCGCGTGCTCCTCACAACATCTGCTTCTCTTCCCGCTGTGCTGGCGCGGCGGACGTGGATTGTTTTCCTCTCCTTCAGCAAGCCGCAGCTTCATTTCGCTGCCGCGTTTCATTTCATGCTCGCGTGTCGTATTTTCCGCCTTCACCGTCGCCTTCAGCACCGCAGACGGTCACGCCCCTCGTCATCACCTCAACCGGCTTCACCGACTCCGTATCACCTCGCTACCACGTCGTTCGTCCGTCGTCGTCACCCCGTTACCCGTCGCCTTGCGCCGCGCCCGCCGCGTCTGCCCCTCCGTTACCGCAACGCCGCCCGCCGCTCACGCCGCCGTCACCGGCGTCACCGCGCACCCGCCGTCACCGCCCTATCTCGGCGTCACCGCCGCTCGCATTACTGGTGTGGCGTCATCTGAGCAACATCGTTTGTTTTTGTCCTCACCCTCCACCTCCGTGCTTACACTCCACCCGTCTCCATTCCCTTTTTTCGCGAACTCCCAACTGCCCCCAGCCGCATCTTGCAACACTTTCCGAACACTACGCTTTCTCCAACGCCCGCTCGCCATCGCAGTCGTCGGCCTCCCGCTTTGCCATGCTCTGCACCCGCTCGTCATTCGCCGCTCCACCGGTCTCTTCCGCCGTCACCCTTCCCCCCTTCCCCTTGCCGCTCGGGCTGCTGCTGCCCGCGTCCCGCTCGACGACCTCGAAAAGCAAAACGCGGACTTCCGCGGCTGTCGCTTCGGTTCCGGCTCGGCTTCTTGGCCGCCCCGCGCGCCGTCCATCGGCCGAGGGCCGCACTTCCGGCCTGCGTTACGCAACGGGGCTGCGTGCGCGGCTCGCCCCGCCCTCCTCCCCGTCGCTCCTCACCGCCCCTCGCCCAGCGCGTCGCGGGGCGCCGCCCACCCGCCCCGCGGCCGCCGCGTTTGTGTCTGCGGCCAGCACTTCCTCTGCATTTATTCGCGCGTGTAATATCCTCGTGCTAGATCCCCTTTCCGTTCGGGAGGATGCACCTCTTTCACGTGAAGGATAATGGGACTTAGCGGTGGAACTTGCTGTCTCAGCGAGCGAGGGAATTGCGAATTGGATTAATGAAATGTTTCTCTGATGGTTTCAATATATGACGTCAGTTTGGAGGTAGACGTTTTATAAGTTTCTGTGATTTTTGTGATCCTGTGCCAGGGAATGTAATTCAGCATTATTACAAAATGAAAGTAAATTATGCATAATATTTTTTGAATCAGTATTATTTGAATGTTTCAATGTAATTTGAGCAAATTTGAACGTAAAAAAATTACGAAGGAAATCTCATAACTTCTAAATGGTTAAAGTTTAATGTTTAGTTTTAAAATGCGGAAATCAACAATTGCCTGCCTGTAAATTATTAATACAGTTAGCTAACCTACAACTATCTACTAAACATATTTGTTTAAATCTTAAAACAAATCGTTTATCTTCGTACCTATTGGTACGCCATGCATGAAAAAAAGTATTGTCCAATTAAAAAAAGTCTTAAGCTACATTAACAGAGTTGTCATGATTTTCACAAGAAATCAAGTATTTCACTAACTATCTACCTCTCTGCTTTCCCATATACCCTATGACTCAGATAAATTAGTCTGGAATTGTCACGTCCGCGCCCATTCAAAATTTCGGCATCGAGTACTCTCCCATGCTCTTTTTCGAGCCACGCTACCACCTCTCCTACCTCTACCCCACCCGTACAACTGTCCGCGGCCTTGGTTCCCGCGCGTCGTCGCCCACGCCGCGCCGCGTCCCGCCCGTCAACACAGCGGACACAAAAGGCGGCGTTGGCAGCGACGCCGCGTTTTCAGCAGAAAAAGCGGCGCCCGGGGTCGATCGGAAGTTTTCGCCACGGTTCGTTTTTCGCTTCCTCTTCGCTTTTGACTTTTCCCCCTTCGATTTCAATTTCCGCTCCCGCGCTCGCCCTCCTGCCACCGCCTCCGCCGCCGCAGCCTCGCGTTGTCGGCGCCACGCCCCTCTCCATTCGGCGGGCTACGAACGCAAATTTTTAAAAATTACCCTCCTCGTATCACATCGGTTTTATTCATCGCCGAATTCCCTGGTGGCCTTGGGCGGTTCGTGCGTGTGTGCATGCACGCCCGCCCGCCCGGGGAATATTGTGCCTCGAGGGCGCGTCCACGGGTGTTATTAAAACGTTGTTTCAGCGCAGAAAGGTACACGGTCGGAGAGTTTCACGGAAGGAAAACACCGCGGCGGCGCGTGGCGGGGTCGAGGCAATATCGCGCGCCGGAGTTTGCGAATTCCATCCCCTCGGAGTCTTGCTACTCCTATACGTCAAAGGAGCGTTGTGTGTAGTTCACGGGGTTTAGCTGGGAGGTATGCTGAGCGGCAGCCGGGGTGTAACGAGAATAGTGATGTGAGGGACAGGAAGGGAGAAAGTCGTGGGAACTACAGGCGAGCAGATGCCTTTTGCGCGGAGTCAGGGTTGGGATCTTTCGAGTTGCAAGATTCATTGAAGTGCATTCTGGATGCTTTGATGTTAGAAAACTATGTTGGCAGTAAGATTTGGGGGTCAAGGAGTTCCGAAATTCACAGCGATTTTGTCGTGAAATATTACTGAACTAGTTTTCCAATCTTTGGAACAAAATATCTTGGAAGTAGATCGTTGATGGAACGCCGTTGTTTCAACCGAATGAGTATTTCCATCAGAAAGAGGGGGGAAAAGGAAAAAAAATTCAAAATTATATAAAAAACGCAGCGGGAAATCGGGATTTAAACATAATCAGAGCAAGACGTTTTATGTTAATTGGTTAACTGATGAAGTTAATTAAAAAAAATTATATGAATCTAACGGATTCGACAGCTTCATCCCTTAAAATTGCTAAAAGAATGAAAATGAAAATGGAGAAAAGGACAGTCATGGATATGTGTGATCTGTATGTAGAATTTTCTTTGTCCTTAAAATGTTTCTGTGTGGTCGTGCAGATTCCAAGATAATATTTGAGCAATGAGGCAACTCAGATTACTTCATTTTACCATTTCCTTCTGTTCGGGTGATCTCTGTTTCGTAAAGTTTGACTCTAGATAACCAGTGTATGAATAACTCTAACAAGTATATTGTTTATTTTGGTCGCCTTCCTCAGATAGCGCGTAATTACTCCAGGACGCGCTGACTATACAACCCAATAAAACTTATTTTCCTTCCTGAAAACGTAGAGCTGGTATTTTTACCTCCTCCTGCACAACATAGTTGTTATTAATCCTAAATACTTCTCTTAAAATGATATATCGCCCCGGAATGCGAAGGAAAGCGTGTACGATGCCCCGGGTAGTGAAGGCGACTTAAACGTTAAATGACTCCAAACGACTGCCTTAAAGGACGATTTCTACTTACGGATGCGTCACGCGACGAGTGCGGGCGACCGAAGGCTCCTCCGGGCTGGCGCCACATCGCGGGGAACAATTGCCAGGCGGGATGCGCGGCCCCGGCTGGCTCGGAAGGGGATTTATCGCCCATAAACAGGAAACGCGGCCGTGCGGGGGCGCGCGGGGTGGGATTATTATTTTCTTCTAAAAAGCCCCCCAGGACGCTCCTGAGTTATTGGGCGGGAAAAGGG